CCGCCGGACACATACACCTCCACACACACACACACACACACACACACACACACACACACACACACCCGTAGAGGGACACAGAAGACAAAGCTGACACCCTTCTGACCCCTCCCGTGTCTACAGAACAAACAGGACCAGCTTGTAAACTACACACAGACAGCTGTTCTGCCCCGACTCCGGTCCCACCAGCCTAACCAGCCACCAACACATACGCTGCCTTCAAATGGAGCCAGGAGGAGTTTTTTTTCAAACCGCTCCAGTCCTGATTAAATGATGTGAACAAGCATGCAGGGGGAAGCCCCACGGCCCTGTGGTTGCAGCGTAGCATTTTCTCCCACGGTCCATGTGAAGGAATAAGGTCAGTACCAGCGTTTCGGTTAACACCCTAATATGACAATTTATGAACGTCTGCAGCTGTAAACATGGTGGTACACACACACACACACACACATTACTCTCGTGAAAAAGATGGTAAAGGCCCATACCAAGCTTGAGTTGTTGGAGGCCAGCGTGTGTATAGTTCCACTGGTGGAAGTACGGTTGTCAAGGAGATGGATGAAGTGTTTATAAAACTCGCTCTCTATATATTTCTTTCTTTCAGTTATGGCCTTAGGGGGCTCTGAACACATGCGGCATTGTGTGTGTGTGTGTGTGTCTCAGCAGGATGTTACTGTAGCTTATTTATTTCCCGGGTCAGAATACTGAAAAGAGAAGAGTGTGTGTGTGTGTGTGGCCGGTCCTGTGTGACAGAAAGGTTGGCAAAGGGGGAGTTGCATCCAAAGAAAGGATCGCTGTCGAGGTGACAGCTCTAAGATTGACAGGATCCTATTCTCCTCGGGAGCAGCGTCAGTCCACCTGTCAGCCTCCCCGTCCGACAGCCTCTCACTCCTCTTAATTTGGCCCTTTGTTGAGCGGTCACTGGGTTAGCTCTTACACTCCATGTGGCCGTCCTGATAAACTGCACAATGAAACGCAAGGTGGCCGCTCGCTTCGATGAACCCTCGAAGCGCAATAAAACTGCTACTGGATATCACTTTGATGGCAGTGAAGACAAAACCGGCTTTGTCTACCCCTGCCTCCCCATCCGCCGTCTCTCTTTCACCTCACGATCACACGCTGTGGACCCGCGTCACGTTGACAGCATCTCCTGGGTGGTTGAGCTCTCACTGAGATAGTACCGGCTTTACTCATTGCTGATGGTATGGAAATGACCATTTCTCTCTCTCCCTCTCTCTGTGTGTGAAAGTACAGGCAAGAGAGAAGTTCGCAGCCTTTCCTCCACTCACACATTGTAAATCCCTTCCTATAGCGGCAGTCACAGGCTAGTGTGTTGACAGGAGATAAGGCCTTGAGCCGACTGAAAGGAACGCTGCACCCATTGTGTCCCTGCGCTCTGCTCCCATCCTCTCCTCTCTGGTGCACATGCAACAGACCAGGCTCTTATGGGGCAGCCATTAAAGTCACCATTGTAGTTTCCACGCAGTCATAAAAGGAGGGAGAACATCTCAATTGGTCAAAGCAGAAAAGAAAGTTGTAAATGGCATCCCGATATAGGGACTGAGATAAAAAAACGATTGGGTTTGTGTTGAGAAATCTGCTTTTGAGTTCTTTGCTAATGTGCTTAAGAGGATGTTCGTATGTTAATTTCTTTAATTTGTGCATGTCCTCTAGCTGCTCCATGATGGTAGAGAGAGGATGAGACAGAGAGAGAGAGAGAGAGAGAGAGAGAGTCTATCTGTGATACGACGCAGTGTAACGGATCATTGACCCACCCACTCAAGCACGTACGCTGGAATGCTGCTTTTACAAATTGCACCCACAGACCCCCTGACATTTTGTTTGCAATCGAGCAGCAAAGTGTTGGGTTGTTTGAATCATTCAGACATGATGTGAATTCACAATTCAACGTATGCTCTTTGGAAATAATAATGTCCTTTGAAATCCTGACTTCCAGGGTTGTTTTCTGCGTCAAAACAACTCTAATAAAAGCACTACACAATGCATTACACCAGCTATTCTGAACCGTTTCTTTTCTTTCTTTTATTTTCCACTTTCATCTTGTTCGCAAATACTGACGGATTGAAAAATGAAATCATCTTTTATTTGTCCTTATTTTCCAAGCTCAGGCCTTTACGTTTGAGGAAAAATTCCTCCACTGCACTCATGGTCCTACTGCCAACGACTAATCAGGAATAAGGAAGCGAAACTGTGATTATGATAAGCATACGTTTATCGGCGGGGGGATTTTTAGGACGACTCCTCTATGAGCGCGTGGACCTTAACTTCACACGCGCATACAGGTACAGTGAGTGCGAGCGTCGGTTTGGCCAGACTGCCATGCTGAGTTAGTGCAGCAGCCCGGGTCACAGCTGACCAACAGATGTGCAAACTGACGAAAGAGGAAGTGACACCTGATTATATCAAGTGTTGACTCAAGAACAGGATATGCAGCCTGAGCCTGAGAGAGAGAGAGAGAGAGAGAGAGAGCGAGGGAAACGGGCAGTATGAAACAGTACTCGGTATGCAGGTGAATACGCCCTCATTCGCTCACATGAGAAAGCCACTGCTATATATGACTGTGTTTCCCAAGAGACAAAATGTGTGTGTGTGTGTGTGTGTGTGTGTGTGTGTGTGTGCACGTGTTTGTGCGTGGGGAGACAGTTGGTGGTGCTGGCACTGGTGATAGAGAGAGGGGGATGAGGCACTGTATCAAGTTGTGAACATCTGCTCCTCATAGAAACCACAAAGCTGGTGCTGAGGAAACAGAGAGGATAAATTCTCTCTCTCTCTCACAAAACCTCATCGCCACCTTGCCGCTCCTCCCGCGCTCACCTCTCATTTTTGCTTTTTTCCCCCCATTCCTTATCACCGACATGTATTTTTTAACACATTTTGTAATTATCTCTGCCACATGTGTTTGCTTGTATCCGTTAAGGTTGCGATGATGCAATCGTCGAGCAATGGCTCAGTGAAAAAGTTTATATTCGCGCGTACAATAAGGTTGCGCAACTTTATTCGAAAATGTGTCAAATTTATGTCATTCTGTCGATGATAACATTGTTTTTAATGGCTGAGGTAGGGTGACATTCAAGCCACAGAAAGGATATGAAAAGGGCCAAATCTTCTACAGCACCATGAAAACACAAACTCCTAATTCAAAAAAGAGAAGTTTCTTGCAACACTGTAAAGATCAAAATCGAATTGATCTAAAATGTACTTCTGGTAAAATTGTGTCCCTCATCCCCACATATGAGAAAAAAACCTGTCAAGAATATCTTATCCTAGCATAGAGAGGATTAGGACTGGCACAAAATTATGAAGTCTATGATACAGCAGACATGAGCCCGGGGCTTTGTTCGGGATTCACTGCACCTTTTCCCTCAAAGTCCCTTGATTTAGTCCTTTCTCCTTTCCTTCCTCTCTCCATCTCTCTCACTGCCTTCCCTCCCTCTACGCTGTGAGGGTGTGCTAGTGCTGGGTGGCAGTTCCTTATTGTAGAGTGTCTATATGAGTGTGTGTGTGTGTGTATGTGTGTGTGTCTGTATGCTGTCCACGGCTGATAAGAACCAGGGAGAAGAGCCAGCGTGCCGACATATTCTTACCACCACGGTTATCGCCCGTCGCAGCTGTGCCTGAGCTCTGCGACATCTGCTCCCTCACAGGAAGCCTATGCTGCAGCTCACAACACCTCACGCACGGACACGCACGTGCAAACGCACACACACACCTTACTGACTCTTGCACATACAGCGTGAACATATTGCCGGACAAACACATCCCCACGCAAACGCACACACATGCACACATGGTTATATCAGGTTAACTACTTGAGACAAAAAGCTGTGTCTACAGTTCACATTGACACATTTTGATTTCCTCGGTGTATGCATTTCGGTGTGTGTGTGTGTGTGTGTGTGTGTGTTTGAGAGAGAGGGAGAGACGAATGGGTTGGAGCACCGACACCACAGTTCTACTGGGTTTTTATCACTGAATTACAGGGGGGATGCTTATGACTAAGCCTAATTATAGAGGTCTTATCGCTACAACGTTCACAAAGCTCATTACTGCCAAGAGACGGCGAGCGCTGCAGGTAATTCACCACGTTGGGTATTAGTCTTTGCTCTGGCTTACAGTTTCTACATATTTATAGTCTATAAAATCGGGCCTTTAATGTCTGATTCTTAATGCATCCCTCTTTCCTCAAACCTTTTGCTAAATGAAATGAAGGTTTTTCTTTCTATACATAAAAGAAGGGCACTACTTCAGTGTTTTCAGTGCTTTGAGAATCAATTACATTTTTTCTTTTCTTTACCCTTTTTCCTGGATGTATTTAATGTATTTCACGTCGTTCACTCCCTCCGATGCCCCCACATGACCGGCAGGTGTCTAGCATGAAAGCCATTAGAGCTGAATGGTGAAACTCAAGCATTTAGGTCTGTTCCCTGCAGCCGTGTGGGATGCCCAGAGGAAGACCCTCCACCCACCCAATGCTCCAGGAACCTCTTTGCCTCTCCAGTGCCACGGGAAAAATGTGCTCCGCTGGGCTTGTTAACAGTAATGACAAGTTTATTTGTGCTTGACAGCTCATGTGAAGAACGTAATACGTGACAACAAGGGGATGTTGTAAAGAAAAAAATGCTTGGGTTGCCCAGTTTAATCACGATTCATGATTGAATTCGATCCAAAAAGCGAGTTTATTTCAAGTAAATGGCCGGAATACAGAAGCACGCTGAGAAACAACGCGTTTGGGAGAAGGAAACTCATTTAGATGGTAATATTTGATGTCATTCCAACCTTGAAACCTCTGTTTCTGTCATCAAATAACAGGTCTACTAACAAGATGAAGAAACCTCACAGCTTACAGCATGCGGCGCTAAGTCAACACAACCTGATTATCCGTCAATCACTCCGACTTAATGAGCAGACCTGACAGCTGCGGGACCATCCATCACTCATCACTGTAACACACTGCCAAGAGATTTCATAAAACAGGTTCCTACCTTCGCTGCATCTGTAGTAGCTGCTGGTCGCCTGGTTTAGATCCAGGCTTCCAGCCTGGAGTCTGTCGGCAGCGTGTTTATCCCTCGGCTCTCTGTGGCTGATCAGTGTGACTGTGGGGACCAGTGGAGCGAACGCTGGAGCAGAGGGAGCCCCGGCTCTCAGGTCCATCTTCTTCTTGCGCTTCGAATGAACTTTGGCCGACATTGTTCGGATCTTCGCACCGCCGCGGCGTAGATCCCGACCGTCTAATGTCTTTACCGGGTGAGGGCCAACGCGGTTATTATGACGCACTCTGTCCAAGTGTGGCAGAGACAACGAACGCAAGGAATGTTATGAGCTCAAAAATGCTGCACGGCTTTCTCGCTTGACCTTCTTCTCCGTACGTCCTTGAGGCTGTGCACTCTGTTTCTCATAATATCCAGCCAGTTGGCCATTGAGGTCCTTGTGGATCATTGTGCCACTCAGAGACAAGGACGCAGCAGTTGTTAAAGCTCCAAACAGAGAAAAACAAGAAACAGACAGTGGCTGCTTCCTCTTCCTCCTTTCACCTCTTAATCAAAGACTGTGATCCGTGTAGTTATTCCTGGATCCCTCTGGTGCTTTTTCTTTGCTCGCACGTGTTCTTGTGTGTGCATGAACCTCTCTGCCTTGTTTCCCGTTCATCTAGTACGTTCTCGGTCTTTCTTTGTTCCCTTTCGGCAGGGTGTGTGTGTGTGTGTCAGTGGCAGGTCAGCTTCTCTGATGGCTTCTGGCTGAGGGGCTGTGCTCTCATCTGAGCCCTCCTCCCGCCCCGGCCTGCCACTGCAGCTCAAAGAAGAAGTGTGTATTGGCATGTTACAGTTTGTGCGCGTTTCTGCTGGTTGCAGCCCCTGGGGAGCCCGAGCGGCAGAGGTAGCTGCAGCGATGGCAGCCAACAGGACCCGGGCCTTCGTCTGGGCTTCCGCTGTCAGGAACCAGCTGCGTCTGCGGCCACCCCTTCCCTCCTTGCAGCCGCCCCCTTCCTCTTTCCCAGGATCCTTTGCTTCCGTGCACCTTGCTCCTCGCTGGCTATAATCACACTCGTTCATCCATCTGCACACTGTTTTCTGTGTGTGTGTCGACAACTTTTTTCAGAATGTTGTTTTGCAAGTCTTCATCAGAAAGAAATATATACATGAGTAGATAATTCATTCACTCTCCTGTTTAATTTGCTCTTGTTTGGTTTCTTTCTTTTGCATTTATTGTGTGCTAGTTTATAGTAAAGTGCAAGAGGAAATATTATGATATCATTGTCAAATGATTATAAATGACATCCTATCTTCTCACTATGCATTGTCTTCGTAGGCCATCCTACACCAACATGTACGTGACCTTTGCATTAAGCCGTGTGCACCAAAGGTGTCAACATAATGGGGAATTTTAAATCATGATTCCCCCAATCCTGAAAGAGAAGAAGATCTGGATTGAAGAAAATCCCCACTGTACCTACCATATACCTCCCAAATGTAAGTCGCATTTTAATTGGACTTCACGCCTCGGTTTGGGCTGCCAACTTAAAATAACGATATCTGGGTTTCTAAACTTGATAGAAGTTTTGAATTGCTACACCAGCTGCTTTGGATATCAGTCATTTTGTGTATGTATACACAGTAAAATACTGTGAACATTTGATCAACTATGTTTTAAAAGAACAATGTAACCAATTCAGCTAGCAAAATGTCAAACATGCTGTTCAGAAAGTCTAGTCAATTCAACAATATTACTCCTACAAACATTCAGACATAGTTCCCCATTGAAAGTTTCACCAGACATGCCGGTCATAATTTTGTTTTCAAGTTGGTTGTGGATAGTTCTTCCCACAAACGTTATGTTTACTTCTCATTTCTTGCACTCCAGATGAACAAAAGATTCCTTTTAAAAGTTGTTTGGTAAAAATAGAATTACAGTCTACAGTCGTTGCTTTTGATCATTACAGTTTGACTTGATAATATGTCTTAATTTATCCCCCAACCAACCTACATCATCTGACAGTAAGCAGTCACCTGTGATTAGAAACTGTCTCTCATTTAGCCGAAGCGACCTACACACAGCGTGGAAGGGGATCCCATGTGAAACTCTAGCAAACATCGTAACCATCACAGTCTCAACCTGTAACCCCCCTCAGGACTCATTACCCCGGACACAGATGTAAGAATCTGTGCGTATGACAGCAGGCACCCACACTCACACCCACTCTACACACACACACACACACACACACACACACACACACACACACACTATGCCACATATTTCCGTATCGGAGCAAGTACTGTAAGTGTGCCGATGAGAGAAGTGAGAGGGGATGTGAGCATGCAGATGGGCCAGTTGCCTGGCTGAAACCAACACACATATGGTCATCGGCAGAGAGGAAGTGAGAGAAAATTGTGTCGCTGTCTTTGGACATGGGAGGGGGGGGAGAGAGAGAGACACGTGTAAGCACATAGAATGTAGGTGTTTTTTTATCTTGAATGTCTTAAACCAATAGGATTTCCCCACATTCAAGTTATAACAAGTATTTTTGCTCAAGACATTGTGTATCAAAGTCAATATAATTCTCAATAATAGGGAAATAAAAGTGCAAATTACACCTCAAATTACATTTGAATTCCCAGAGCAACTGATTTACTTTTGGAAAAGACTCTTTTGGGGTCAAGTGGGAGAGCGCTGTAGCAACGAGAGGGAACAGTATGAAAACACAGACTTTGTGCAGAATGTGAGAGCGTGAGAACACAATCAGGTGGCAGGTTTGGCAACAGACGGCAAGGTAAAGGTGCAGATAAGTAAGGGTAAGTCAGAAAAGGGGGCTAACATAAAGGGCATACTGACTAGAGGACAGAATGTTTTAGCACCACTTCATTTTGATGATGTGAGCCAAGAGAGATTTTGATTTACAATTTTAAACCGATTAGATAATTGCGGTGGGGCAAAACATGAACAAAAGAGCAGAGAGGCATAGTCAAACTAATCAAAGAGAGCAAACAATGGCAGTAGTAAAAGCAACAGATTTTGGAACGGACTGATAGATTGCATGTTTAGTCCCAGTCAAGCAACAAATGAACTCATCAAATCTCAAAAGAGCTGTGGTCCCCATGTGCCTCTGGTTTAACGGCAGCCAGTTGTCCTCACACATCGGAGGTTATTAATACATAGATAACCCAGAAAAAAGGCCGAAAACAGACGATCATCCATCATCTAATATGATTTTATCGCACATTTAAATCCTGCATGCAAAAAAGACAGGATGTTTTGCTGTATATATATTTTGCCCATGTGCCCGAACCTGTTTGCCTGATACACACACGCACACCCACACACACACACACACACACACACACACACACACACGCACTCTTTCCATGTGTTACCTGCAGAAGCCTTTGCTCCTTTGCCCCCCTCCCCTCAGATGTTGGCAGGTATAAAATGAGTTTTTGGGGAGAGGGAGATAATGATTCCCCCATAATCACCAGAGGCCAGCTCTGGTTCTGGCAGGTGCTATCACAGTAGCGACCCAGTGGTGCCTTCTCCCCTGAGATAAGGTCAGGAGGATGACGGGAGGGATGGTGGGTGGAGGGGGGGGGGGGGGGGGGGGGGCGGGGCAAAAAAGAGAAAATGGCACAAGGGGGGGGGACAACTGTGTGTTGACATTAGCGCGGCTGCCTGTCTTTTTCTCCCCCCGGGGGGTGCGGGTATTGGCGCTCAGAGTGCCGCGGCGAAATGACCCGGCATAAAAAAACTGTCTTTAATGGGGAAAAGGACCCTCTCCGCCAAATAAAAAACCCAGAGGGGGAGCACCCCGGGTGTTCTTTACTCTTTTTAAAATGCCTCTGGCGGGGAGAAATGCAAAAACAATTGCAAACTTTGGTTTATCGCGAATGCATCACATCTGTTATCATAGCCAGGTATTATGTATACGGGAGATTTCTGACAATAGATGAAACCAAGTGCCTTTCCTTAAGACTGCAAACTCGTTTATCCCCGCATGTTGGTCAAGAGAGGACAAAACGCAACGTCTGACCTTGTGGAGGGAAAGTCATGCGCGCATGTGTGAGTCGGTGGTTGGGACGGCTGGTGGCGAGAAGCAGCCATATGGTGAAGCGTCTTGACTGCCTGCGAGACACCTGGCCACCACTAACCGGGTGAACTTTTCAACCCAGCAGCCGCCCCTCTGGCAGCTTGAGGCAACACATCATTTGAAGATTCTGAAAGGTTTTGCTTCTAATACAGATAAAGTGACAAACCTCATAAGACACAACTATGGAACAGCTTGGTACTACCGTGCTCACTACTTCTGTGAAGGTCAAAACAAAGGTTTACCCCCTTAATAAGCCAAATTATTTCACAACTGGATCATTTTAATGTTTTTATCCCTGAGACATTAGTTATAATCATGTTTTAAAGTAGTTTGAAAGTATATTAGGAATACAACCATTATTTTAAGAGCTTGAAGCTAAATTACTTTAAATAACAAACTTAAAATACTCTGCAGGACTCCCAATTTCAATAGACAATTTCAACAACACTTTATACTAAAACCTTCCTCAGCTAGTTTCTTTGTCCGCATCAACAACAGTTCATGGGATTCTTTACCATATAATATGGATGTGTCAAGAGTTTTATTTGTCTCCGTCTGCCCACGGCGAGAGAGAATGAATGAGAACAGCTAGTGCCTCTTCCAGAGGGACTTATTGCAATGAATCTGAACCCACATAAAGAGAAACAAAAAATACAGTGGCAGCATCATTCTATCAGCATAAACCAGACAAATAAGTCAGTCGAGGCTTGTTCACCTTCTCTCTCTGTGGTGTTTTTACAATACACACCTGTTTGGCACAGGCGGCGTCGGAAAAACCTCCAGATCTTAACAGAACTCTATAAGTTAAACCGTCCCCATCTGTCACAGTCAAGCTCCACACAGAGGCACACTCTTCTCTCTTATCCTTCATACAGACGACTTGGCATTCATTCAAGAACTGTCAAAGCACACCTGCTAAATTAAGCGCGTTCGCATACTCACACTCACACACACACACACACACACACACACACACGCACAGTGCTGTGTACACACATGCCCAAATGGGACACACATGATCGTGCATGCACACAAACATTAACACAGATGCTGTTAAATGCTCACAGTTATGTTAAACTGATTTATAATATATTATATATATATTCTGCATTTCATGGCATTTAATGTTTATTTAAAGACCAACAAATTCCCAAGACTACGTTCATATTTTTTTTTTCTAAATCGAATCATATGCCTCTGTCAAATATTACCCCATAATCCTACGGCCATAAACTCTGATCTGTTGGTACCCTCCGCTCTTGAACACCCTAAATCCAGCCACTCCCCTCTCTCATGGCTCCTGGCTGGCACAGCCGCTGATCTCCTCTAAATAGGTGCCACTGTGAATTGGAGACAGATGGAAACGAAGGTTCCCTGCAGAGTGGTTCCCCTGCAGCTGTGCCCTGTACCCGGTGCCAGGGAGTGATGACAGCTCGGCGAGGGGGCACTCAGAAACACACGAGACAGCACCATCTCCGTCTCAATCCCTCCCTCGCACACCAACACCAACATACCCAAACACAAACACTCGACGGCTGTGCAGAGGTGTAAAGAGGAAGGGTGTTAGCTCCAATACCAGCCTCCAGGAATGTGAAAGTAGAGATTTAAGTGAGGAGACAAGGGATAGACCGCTATAACACAACACATCTCCACTGCTCTGCAGCAACCAAACAGACACACTAACACGTGCCTACAGACTCATACATTAAACATCAGCCCTCCAGGTAATAGTCATCATACGGGAAATTAAGTGAGTTGTATAGAGCTGGTCTTACGTGTAGCGGTAGCAGTAGTGGTAATAGTTTCCAACAATTATTTAAAACATCTCACTCAACATTTAGAGCAATGGTTCGACATGTGCTATCTTACCTGTCTACCGCCAGCAGGTGGTTAGCTTAGCTTTAGCATACGGACGACAAGCAGGAAAATACCGTTTTTCTGGCTTTGTCATCAGTCAGGACAATTTCTTGCCCAGGGCTTCATTTGCCAATCGGAATATTTGTTTTCCCCTCAGGAGCCTGCCAAGATATTGTTGTTTAGAACAAAGCTCCTTACAGTTAAAGATACTGACACTTAAAGATCCACTCAAACAATTCTTCGCCATGATATTTAGTCGGCCATTTCTTGGACACAATTACTTGCGTTCAGAAAAACGGACACTATTCAGCAACCAAAGGAAATGTACATTATTGTTCAGTCACCAGAGACAGTGTGACACTTAGTGTAGAGGAATCATGCACGTTGACTAAAGTGTGTGTGTGGGTTGGTGTGTGTAGCTGAAAGTGCGAGTGTGCTATAGAGCATAAGAGCGAGCGAGGCCGTCAGAATTTACCTGCAGCTAATTAGCCTTGTCTAGCAGTCTGACATATAGTGTTCAGGGTCATGTATATTTCATGAGAGGAGGATTCCTGTAAAGGTCATTGTAGAATTTTCAACTGAAGAGACACCTGCTTTATTCATCACATATAATTGTATGAATTATCAACTCTTTGCCTAAGTTTCAACTCTCTCTGGGGGGAAATGCAACAGTAGTTGGTTTGGAGACATCCGCTACTGAACACAATAATTCTTAGCAATTACAGGGTACTGAAAATTATTATTCGTGTAACACTGTTGAAATCATCAAAGTGGTTTTCTTGCAATAATTACTACCGCTGCTGTTACGTTGAATTGTTTTGTGTGTGTGTGCGATTGTGTTTACGTGTGTGTCACTTTATGCTGAGAGGGAGAAAAAGGTGGAGAATAGGGTGAGATACCAAAAGTGTCAGGGTGCTCCTGCTCATTAGAGCTATATTTTACACATATAAAGGAGTCCGGGGAGTACTTCTGTTTGATCTGCTTTGCATAAACCAATCCAATCTAACCCTGCTTGTGAAGAAAAATCCATTAAATTCCCCTTAATTGGACTGACAGTGCACTCCAAAATAGAACAGCAATCAATATTAAAGATGAAAAATGAAGCCAAAGGCCATCTCACTTCATTGATTTACATCAAGAGGAGGAGGAATCTAGATATTATTGCCACATAGGAATATGAGCTATTGAGCTCCTTAATGTTGTTATTGTCTCAGTATTCAAATGGGTAGACGGGTAGTGAGCGTAGGATCACAGCACCAATTAAGGTTCACCGATGTGTTAACAGACCTGGGTCGAATAGTTGCTAATTCTTTCTAAGCCATGTTTATTCCTCTTGAGAAACCATATGGTTGAAGTTTCCGTTTCTGTTCTCAGCCAATCGGCACTCTCAAGCGCCGTTTTTACGCTCTACCCGTTCTGGTTTCTTGCGAGCTGTCGCTCTTATCCGCGCGGTGTTAGTTGTAGCCAATAGGATCGTGACTAAACGGTCAGGATTGTCCTTACAGAAAAAAAATTGTTCAGCTAGATAAAGTAGTTCGAGAGTTATTACACGTTTTATCATGCGATGCCTTTTTCAGAGCAGAGGCCAAAAAACAGGCTTGGTCACAAAGTTTTTTTTTATCTCTAATACTCATTGAAATTGTAATTACTTTGCTTTAAAAATTACTCAACAGCAGAATGAATTAGTTGTTACCTGTTATTATTATTTTTACTCTATTCTGGGCCTTCTGGGATGTCTTACTACAGTTGAATGACCTAATAACCTCATCATGACGCCACAGTTAGAGGTTCTGGTTCTTAATCACAAAACACTGCAATATTTAACGTGAAATAAAATGTTACATAAAGCTCAACTCCTACAAATACACTAAATGCAGATACATGAATGCGTGTAGTCAAATCAATGTAATTAACTCGATGACAAGTGAAATCTCACAAGAACCAGTGACATTTATTTGCAACAAAGCATGAAAAAACAATCCATCAAAACTACAGCACTAAAAAACTCAACAGCACGGTTCCATTCAAATATTATTTAGATCAGAGGGATATTCAATATATAATAAAAACAATACGGACAAATAACACAAAAGCATGGTCCCTATTTACAGACAAAGTACTAATGAGCCTACAGAGGTGCAACTGGCACGTCAAAGAAAACCCCCAACAGGTCAAACTAAAGACCGGATAGGTTGAAAAATATATACTTCACATAGAGACAGGGGGGCTGAATCTGAAAAAGCTCTTTTTGCGCTGGAAGCAGAGCAACAGCCGAAGACAAGAGCCGTGCAATGAGAAAACCAGATAATAGGAATAATACATGTAATGCAACTTAAATGATGAAATAGTTTAAATTTGTGATTCTGTTTAGGGCAGCAGAGAAGGCTAAGCTGACCCTGACGACCCACCACTGGGTTTATCAAGCAGCCTGCTTACAGTCTGAATGTAATTTACTGATCAACCACAGCTAGCTTAACCCTGGAGACTGCAGGCAGCCCTCCAGAAGCCATGTCCTCACAGTGAAGCAGCGGGGTTCACACACACTGAACAAAAGCTAGGTCATCTATGATTACAGGCTTCCCAGTGTAGACACAAACACACAAAACAACTTTGGAGTGAGCAGTTGTCGTCTTATGGCAGAGGCAAGCTGTGTCTTTGCGTTGTTTGTGCTGGCAGCGTTTCCTCTCCAAATAAACATACTGTTCAGTTGGTATTTAATGCTTTATTTCTCACAGGGCAGCAATGTTGCTCATGCCACCCCACACATTGGCTCCAAAAGCTGGCAGATGGACAGGCGGACAGATGTGTACTCATCAGCAGACAGCTGGATTGACCATCCATCAAAAGACAGGCAGGTGTTAAGATAGTTCTACGGTGAGATGAAAGTACATTTTTGGGTTGTGGAGAGTGCAAAACGTGGTGAGAATTTGTGGATTTATCCCCACAAAACATTAAAAAAAGAATAATAATACGGGAGGGCAAACTACATGATGCTCATCACTCTGGGGCTATTGTGTGTACACATGCATGAAGTACGTCATTGAGGCTAAATCCAGGCTCACAGAGGAACCACTCATTGTGTCACCTGCATGCTCATTAAAGTTTGTCTTGATTCAAGAGGTTTGGGTGTCAGTGTAGTGTAGAACCGTCAAAAATATGGATGACAATATGGATAAGTAACAAAATAATTATTGTGGGACAAGTTCGTGACCATTAGCGCTCAGAGAGGGAGCGCGTCCTTCAATGTCAACAGGCATACATACCCACAACCGCCACCCACTCCTTCCACCTCTCACGGTCCTCTCCTGCCTGACAGCTTATCAGGACCCTGGCAGACACTCTGATCGGGGTTGCTGAGCGCAGCCTGTATGTTTGTTTGCTTCTTATCCCACCTTGTGGCGTGGCGTGCGGCACAGTGCGCCCCGAGCCCCTCAGTGTACCCTGCATGGAGGAGAGAGATAAAACAACAAAAAAAACTGCCATGAAGATTGCAGTCAGAAAAGAAGCCGTCATCACTGGAGGAATCTGAGTGCCCTTCCCGGAGGAGAGGAGAGAAGAGGAGAGGGGACGCTAAAAAGTTGTTCAGCTTGCCACTGATATTCCCTCTGACAGGTGTGCCAGCTAATTTTCTGAAAGCTTTAACTTACTGATTTGCTGCCAAACTGTGTTCCTTTCTGTTTTAGTTGTATTTGCCTTGAGGTTCGGATGCAGTTTAAAGCTGTTGTGCACAGCTGCCTGGTAAGGAGAGTACAGCAGTGGGAAAGAGTATAACTTGTTTAAGGGAATCATCCCTTTGGGGCTTGCACCACATCTGGTGCCTTTTGGCAACTTTTGCACAATATGATTTCTCTTAAATATTTGATTGCCTAATGTTGCAGAGAAATTTGCATCTCTAAGTGCTCCAAAAGAGTTGAACCAATCACTGCAGACCAACGTATGCACGTAGTTCATTGTTTAAAGGTGACTGGAGCATAGAGAGTAAAAAAAAAGTTAGGATTAGTGTAAAATCAATTTGAATGAAGAGTAATTTTAAATTCACAGCAGTACGACGGTGAGAGTAAAGAACATCTCCCATTTCATTTGAATTTTTCAAAAGAAAATGCTTTTTGTATTTCAACTCAATACATTATTTTATTAGATTTGGAACGGCATCGATTACTCGGTTACTACGCACAGCTGACAACTCGTCCACGCAACGCTTGACAGTAGCTTGAAACAGCTTGACAACAGCACTAGTCCCGCCCATGGTGCTGATTGGCTCAATGACCTTTTAATTAAAGAGATGCTGTATCATGGCACGATGCCAGATGAATCAGTTGACTCAAACTTGATGAAGTGTGCAAATAAAAGCTCCTGGCCTGGGCAAAACTGCTAAACTCTTGACAGTTTCTCCTTTTAACTTTTATTCAATCGGGACTGAAATCTTAAACATTATTGTTCAGTCTGGTACTCTGTGTTTGCCTAAAAATGTCTTATTCAGCATACGGTTGTACTTGGACGCATCACCCTCAGCCAAGCGACTGACAACCAGAATGCCTCAAACCTGAGGGTGATGTCACGGTTACTACGTCCAAATCCTATAAACAGCCTATGAGCTTTACACAGCGGACTCCGTCATTGTGTTATTGGAAACCCAAAATGAAAGAACAATGCTTGTTAAAACAGGGTTATCTTTTTTAATGAAATAATAGATGCCTAATTGATTAAAGTTTCATGAGTATGTGTCTCAGCTGGATAGCATGTATTGTAGTTAAGACTATGTTTTGTTAATGTGGTATACTGTTGATAAGATGGAGGTGGTTCAGAGACGGAACTCTGCATTGACGCCTCTGTCACCATAAAGCAGAGAACTATAGACCCGTCTCAGCAGCAATATCCATTGTTGCAAGTACCTAGATGACAAAAAGTTTCTCTGTGTTTTCTCTGAATTTATATTTGTTATTTTCAAATTTAGAAACACAGTTTACCGTCATTGAAATGGAACATAACTCCAATGTCAAAGCCCCAGAGCTTTTAGTTTAGGGAATGTGTTAACACACGACCAATGTCGTTATTTTTCTGGTGGGGCCACCGTCCAGCTGATCCCCCTCGTATGTAATATCTAAGTGCTCTCTTACTCTTTAGCCATTTACTTGGAAAGCAAAGCCGTGTCCAGAACGTTACGTCATGGTGAAGGTCAGAAGCGAAATCAGTACAAAAAGATTTGCAGTACGGAGAAAGGGACGGAAAAAAAGAGCTAGATAGGCATAACCAAGCCGAGCGAGGGAAACAGAAAGGGGAAGAGATGAGAGACAGCGCAGTGCCCGGTGGAGGGAGGAGAGGAGGAGGCAGCGAGTAAATAGTCAGCGGCTCTAATAGGAATATCAAGGCAGTGAAAGGTAAACAGGCTTCTCCAGGCAGATACAAAGGAAATGTGGCGGCTTTGAGAGCGCTGGAGTGCCGGCACGCCACTGTGGCGCTGCGATAACGGCTGCAGGCCCGCCTGCATCCCAGAGATAAGGCCGAGCACTGGCATGTGTCGCCCCTGATCCCAATTTCACAGTCAATATTCATCCAGCTCGACAAACAAGCAACATTTAAGATAAAAAATAAATATAGAGTCCTTCTGCTATTACCTCCTGTTTATTAATCTGCACACAGCCCCCACTGCCTTTTAAACAGTGGTAAACACCCCAGCCCTCCCTACCACACCCCATCTCTCCCTTCATCAGACTCCCCCCCAAACCCCCCCCACACCCAAACCTCTCCACCTTGTCTTTCCCCTGTCTTCCTGCGGATCTGTGGATTTGCATGGTTCACTTATTCTTTTGCAATTGCTGCAGGCGTGTGTGTCTCTTGGTGTCTTGTGTGATCACACCTGCACATGATGTTCTCACTTTAATATCTTTAAGATATGAGGTTGCCTAGATGTGCATGTATGCTTACTGCAAAAGGTGTTTTTGTTAGCGTGTTTTAAGCATATTTCCGTGCAGCGTTTTTGACCTTGCATGTTAACAGGCCACAGCTGTATACTTGAATCATCCTCTGTCTCCCTCTTAACATTCTCCGCTCCTCACCTGGCACCCACACTAAAAGAAAAGGGGGTTTTAACAAGGTATTGAAGCTTTCGTTCCCTTAAAAAAAACGTCCTTCTCTTGACAAAAGTGATCCGTTTCTTAGAAAATTGTTGAATTGTGGAATAGTCATATTCTCTCCTTCCTTTGGAGAGAATTTCCAGATTAAGAAAAAAGTAAAATATTGTAATGAATGACTCAGCAAGGTTGATTGATTTTGAAATTCCGGTCTTAAACTGCAGCTTACAGGCCAGCTGGGCTCTGATTGCATCTGAACACTCACAGAGGAGTAAACCAAGTCCTAAGCGGAGCCACTTGGGCCACAGCCGGTTTTATTCATTTCGATGGAGTAAGCACAAAACACTCTCTTCAATTAGCTTTATTTGTACCATGGACCGGTGAGAAAACGGAACGCAGCGGTGATTGACACGCGTACATGTTTGGCACGTTACCGCAGCTGGCACAAACCTACCGTACAGTAGATTTAAGCAGCAAAATGACATTCTGCCTGTTCCATTATTTGCTGGCAGCCGGACTTGAATCATTCTTATCAGTGCTCTTTATTGCTCCCTGACCACCGATCCTCGGTCCCCGCATCACGCTCGCCATCACACCCGACCTGCTTCATCGCGGCTCACCCGCTCATCCCCCTCCCTTCTCTGTGGCCTTCTCCTGCCCTTCCTTCTCCTCTCCCTGGTACAGGCCTGCTCGTGCCCGGCCAGCTGGCCGTATCCCTTTAAATCGGGCCCGGGTCGAGGCGCGCTGTCTCCGGGAGATTACTGCACACTCTCTTAGGCTCCACAGATGGGAGAGACAGGCTGCCAGCTGGCAAAGGGACACCCACCGTCCCCGCTGGAGACCGGCCAAAAGGCCTGGCTCTCTGCTCAGAACTCTGTCCATCCACACTCCTGATAGCTAGCCACTTCCTGCTCTTTTATCCATCTCGTACCCTTCATTACAGCGATGGAGGGAGTGTTCAGAAACAGCAATACCACCATTATCATAATGTGGGGCTTCTTCTTGTAGTTATGGCCATAATTACACCACAACAGAATGCACATTCCTCCCGGCGCCGTTGTGACTTGTACAAATTTGCTTTCTGAAATGCAAGACATAAAAAAGTACAGTGAAGTAAAGTCATTGTTTAGACACTAGGATGAATATACTTCGCTCTCTCTCTTTCAGCCACACAATTTTTACCTTGTCTCCCACTCACTGTGCCATGCGTGCACACAAACTCGTAGACATGCAAACACACGCTCCTTATCTCTGGCCCCCATTTTCAGAGCGCATTGGACAGAAAGGTGGGGACGGAGGGTTGTTGAAAGGTGTCACACGTGATAAGGGTGCCAGGTAGAGATAACCAAGTGTCCTTCATCACTATGTAGCACACAGGCGGTCCTCCTGGGGTAAAACAGAACACACACCTACACCCACACTCACTGACGTGTATATAATGTACCAGGATAGGACAAGTTCATTATCCATGTGTGTGGTGCCATGATAAGGCCGAGATCTCCTAAAATAGCTCTGCTATTGAGCTAAAACCTTCCACTGCTAAATAGAAAAAAGAGATCCCGAGGTAGAATATATATCATTATCCTCTCTGCTCTGTTATCTGTCACCTTCCATTACAGGAGAGTAAGGCACTTTTGTCCCAGAGGTAAACAGCTATCGGGAAATATGTTTTCTGATGCAGGGAGGACACACTGTGGTACCTCGTACCTCGTACCTAATTATGCCGTTGTCCCTGCTTATGTGCACCTTCTGCTGTCTTCCTGAGCCGGCTGGCCGATCCTTTTGCCACTGTTGGCACGTTCCACATGTAGACCAGCCCAGGGGATTGTGTCAAGCTCACCCAAGCCAGGGACGGCACTGTCGACGCGGCCTTCCTACTGCTGCAGACAGTAATATGACATCAACATGCGTCTTTGGTGAGAAAGATTTCGATTTATTTCTTTACACACACACACACACACACACACACACACACACACACACACACACACACACACACACAAAGTTGCGTTAGAGTCCCCTTTGGTTGCACAAGGAGCTGTATCACGTCGCTTTCGTGCGTAATGTCCAGTGCATATGCCCATAGTTCTACATAGGAGAATGACCATGGCTGCCTGTAAATGTACACAGAAACTTCTCTGTCCAGTCTTCCGCCAGACCACCTGCTGAGCACTGAGATGATTACAGGTCGAGATTACTGTGACACACACACACTTTAGGACACCATCTCGCAACCACAGCACACAGACTGAGGGCACAAAATTGCAGCAGTTCACACAAAAAAAGCAAAATCCTTTTTTAAATAATTGGGAGGAGAAGAGGTCTATGTTAACTGACGTGACACGGCATCGCTTTGCATCACGCGTGATGGACTGTCATTACGCTTCACGTCTCTCTTTACCAGACTGTGGACGTTGCATGATATCAGTAAAACGAAGAAGTTAACTTGAGGCCCCGTGCCGCTTCCTCTCTCCCCCTCTCCATATTTTCCGCCCCTCCATACATCCCCCCGCCTCATTTCCCCACCCTCACCCCATACACCACCCTTCTCCTCTCCTGCCATGTTTGCAAGAGCGAGGGCTTTGGAGGGTGGCACTCTGATGGCGTGAAGCCAGATGGCAGCCACAAGGCAGGCGACGTGGCGCGGAGCAACGGAGGGTGCACACATACGCACACACCCGTACACAATCACTCACTCACACTTTCTCTCCTTAATGAACAGTCATGAATTATTCATCACATGCACTTGTACACACACATACACACACACACCTCTTGCACATGCATAGCTCCTGTCAGCAACAGAAGGCTCTGCGACTTCTCTCTATTTTATTATCATTTCTTTAGGCATTTTCGTTGGTTGTAAAGGAATACCAGGTGGTGCTCGACCCCTCAAACTATAAAATCCTCCCCCTTTCTCCCTCCCTTCCTTTCTCTCTTTCTCCATGTGCCCCGTGCCTTCCTCTCCCCCTCTGTGTAAAACCCCGTGTCTCTCTGGGCTATATGGGCCCGTTTTTCTTTATGCCCCCTCCCTTTCCCTCCGGCACTTGCTTCCCCTCTTTTCAGCTAATCGAAGGCAGGCTGAATTAACAAGTAAATGAGAGAGGAGTAAAGCAAACCGGGGAGAGGAATCTCGGAGGATAGCCTTCCAAGTGGAAAATGCACAGAGGAGAAATGCCTGCCTGATTTCACACACTTCCTGTCATCCTGCCCCAGCAGTTCCCAGATGTCCTGATAGTCCTTAGTGACTACATTCAAGGTGTAAGATTGAAAATTTAATTGTCCCACAAAATACGGGTTACTTTTCTCTGTATTTGATCTGAAACACATACCACCATAACCACTGTACCTCAGTCCGGTAACACCACGACAGTCGGTCACCACGACGAAGAACCTGATAACTACGCCTACGTGTAAGAAAAAATCCTTTACCTACACGGCGTATTGAAAAAATGTATTAAGTAAGTATTTATGTCACATTGACTAAATTGAATTCAATCTAATAAGAGAATCGATTTGCACCTAAACTTTGAACCGGGTTAATACATAAACGAGAATGAATCATGTTTAATCATGTTTAATCAATCCTCCTCTGCAATGTCCTTGTTTGTTTTCCCTGACTGTGTTCTGTGTACATCTTTGTGTGAAACTATTTTATTCTGTAGAAAATCCTTATATGGTGTTTGTTTTTGTTTTTTACTCGATGTCATTGATTTCATAGATAGAGTTGTAAAGCGGTGAGAGGTCTTCAGTTGATCCTGATCCATTTTTCATCTACCAAAATTGTTAAATTCAACATTTCAACTTTCAACTTTGCAGGATCCAACTACATATTATACACTGCACCAAAACGCCATCCATCAAAACCATGTTCAATTTAAAAACGAGTCTTGTTCCATAATGTTCCTTCTGCTGTGATGCTACTACTGTTGTCTGGAATATATTACAGTATGTAACATGGTTTTGTTTTGTTTAGCTTCCCCTTTGCTAACATTGCGAGGTAGTGGGTGTAAATTGACTCTGACAGATGTGACGGATGGATGGATGAAGACCTGCCCCGGCTGTCAAAGAGGTTCAAGGTATAAAGGGGAGATGTGAAGGGGAAAGGGGTTGGTTTGGTGGAACAGAGCAGATCTCTCTGGGGAGTGAGAAGGATGAGGATGTCTGATAAGGTGTAGAGGAGGCCTGGAGGAAGAGGTAATAAAGGGAGAGGAGAGAGAAGGACGGTGCTGTAGAGTGACAGGAGGAAAAGGACAGGCTACCATAGGCGCTGTGCTAAAGGTCAGCAGCCTCCCCTGTGAGGTTGAGTGGTATTTGAACCTCACTTCTATGGTTACAATGTCTATTTGGTGTCGCGGTGTGCTTATTTGTGTGTGTGTGTGTGTGTGTGTGAGGGAGGGGGGTTGTGTGTGTATTGTGCGTAGGTGGATTGAGTACGTCTGTGCGAGTGTGTGTGTGTGTGTGTTTCTCTGGCAGGGGGCACAAACCAGAGCTGAGTTTAATTGTCTGTAACAAAGACCCGACTCCTTTAGGATCCATTGATGTGCCGAGCATCATTTTGGAGACCACAATACAACACAGAGACACACACACACACACACACACACACACACACACACACACATGCACAGTAAAGCACAAAGGGCTTGTTTCCAGGGCTGTGTTCATCATTACCACTGTGGGGGTATAGTATCTCAGCCAGCAGACAGACCAGGGGGGGAAATAAGATAGTTTGAGATGCCAAAGTCAATCTGTTAATCTTTAACTCTCCATTCCATTCATTATCTTTTATGTAGTCAATAATAATGTGGGTTTTTTTCAAAAGTTAAAGATCCCATATCAACGCTTTCTGACAGTACCATTCCTTAGACATTACTATTACTATTATCATAGATCAGGTAAATTAAAAATGCCAACATTTCCAACATTCAACGATACGATGAACCGCTGTGAATTGAATTGACATAAAATCCTAACTCAATTCACTTTATCAAGTAGATGCGTTTAAATATGTATTTCTAACTCATTACTAGACATACATACAGGAAAGATTATAGCTGCCATTAGCTATTTTACTGTGATGACTATTTCATAAGAACGATAGCTCACTTTTGTGACATGATGTGAACCACACATCACAGCTGTGGGGTTTGTTACCTTGAGGACCTTTGGAATAAGTCTAATCACAACATACTCCTGAGCTCTTACCCAAATATCCTCAAACCTCAACTGTTACCTTAGAGTAGACATAATACACGAATTACCTCTGGAATATCTCGACAACTCTCTTTCCAATAGGTTGAGTCTGTAATAATGACAATAATAAACAAATAAACACTTTTGAAAGGCCAAAAGATTTCTTTTTCACTATTGTGCATCAAGCTTTTGAATAAATATACGTATGTGGGATTAAAATGTCCATTTTTTCTCTCTTGCCTATTTATGGTCATATTTACATATCTGTAATCATATTTACACGTCCTGAAAAATATGTAATCCACAGGATACTGATCGCTCTACATGCATTACTACATGTAATATCTTATATATAAAAGTATATAAAATATTAGTATTTGTAGTTTATCTCTAACCAAGGCCCTATCTATTTATTCAAAAGCGTAATCTTCTATTTTCCTCGTCATCTTGTTATTTATTCCATAAACCTGGTTTCAGACTCATCTTGCATGCAGTGACCGACACACGCTATTGTTGTTCTCACAGCAAGACGATGAAGTGTCGAGTAATATTATGAACAACTCTCGATGCGTCTTAAAATACAGTACTTGTACAACTATCAGACTGTGTTGGCCAGTGCCTTCTTACATTAGAGAGACATGAAAGCCTTTGTTATTCTGGTCTGTGCCTTTTCTGTTCTTTTTCCTTTGAGTCTGCTGGGGATCATCATGCGATCTAAAAACACAGCGACGTGATTATAGAGGCCATTGTTCTTGCTGCTTTATCTCTGTGAAAGTAAGTGTGACTAATTTTGAGAGACATGAAGAGTGTGTGTGTGTGTGTGTGTGTGTGTGTGTGTGTGTGTGTGTGTGTGTGTGTGTGTGTGTGTGTGTGTG